GGGGGGGGCAATATGTAAGGAAGCATTACCATATACAGACTTGGATGCAAAGAACACAGTGTGGCAACTGATGGGTTTATTTCAACAATTCCCATACTGCCTCATCTGCCTGATCTACTCTACTGTAATCTAAGTAAATGCTATAAGGAATAACACACGGTTTCCCAACCAATGCTCGATTCAAGAGTTGAAGCTGAACTTTGACTCAATAAATTGAAATTAACAGGCAATGACTGTAAAGACTGGCGATTGAAAATAATTAAATATGGATACGCAGTGCTGCTGTAGACACAAGTTAGATGATAATACATGGAAAAACTTGGATATTTCCTCTTAAGCATTTACATATCCATCATTACTAATGTGTAACTGACATTTTGTAGTTTTCTTTCACTTTTCCATACAGAATCTCCCACGTTTACAATTCCGTACACCTTGCCTGGGTGCTTTAATTTCCACAGTTTGTTGGAATGAATTACAAATGTCTGTCTAGTAAACTTCTGTGACAATCCTGGTGATACAATATGTTGCTGTTGGTGTTTCAAGCTGGTAAGAACAAACCCAGGGTCTTCCTATGAATACAAAGTTTTGGAATAGGGTGGATCTGAGTTGGAAGTCCTTCAAATGATTATAATTACCCAGGGCACTTCATTAAAACAACGTTCTTGTCTAGGGGAAGTCCCAGGATATAGCACTCAAAACACAAAGTGATAAACAGTAGTGACCTTCATTATCTTCCTAGTGTATGTATTTGGCCAAAAAATACTTGACCTACAACCAGTCTTTTCTATTAGTTCTCATTCTTTGGATGTCATGCAATTGCCTAATTCCCAAATCTCAAGTGTTATTATAAAAATTGTTTGTTTCTTCTGGTAATTGTTTTTCCATCCTAACGCCTTTTTATAGCAATCAATTCTCTATAAAAGAAATGGTAACCTCAGTGATTTTTAAAATGAAGGCTTGGATCTCTTTTAATGCCTTTTATGACCAAGAATCTTTGGTTAATGCTTAATAACTTTTACTGTCAAGACATCCTTTTAAATCTCACACCTAACCTTCCCTTGTTGGCACTTAAATCCATTTATTCCTGTTCTATGAAGATTAGGAAGAGTTGGCCAGAGTTCTCTCCATAATGACTCTTCATTTGCTTGACAACAGTTACTGAGTCAGCCTTCTGAGTAAATGTCTCCAACCTTCTTTGCCTTCCCTCAATGCCACTTTCACTGTTGCTCACATAAGTTGTCCTAGATGCAGTGATGTTACCAAAGCAGGGGTGAGCTGCCTGTGAATATCTCATTGTATAGCTTCCTCCCCCTTCTCTGGAAATGGTACCTGAGAGAGGTTGGCCCCAGTGGTTATGCCCAAGTTGCATGAGCATTGCTCTTTTGGGTAGCTGATTGTTTCAAGGTTGAGTTGATTCAAGGTGGAGTCAAGGTTGATTGATTCAAGAT